AATTTTGTTTAACATTACCAAAACCTAATAAGAATGCCATTATCTCTATTCAAACTACAAACAAAACTCAAAGTTACTATTTTTTGTTTCTGTTCTTATTTCTTCTGTTGCTTTTGTCTTTTCTGGTGTTCTGATTTTCATTTGTCATTTCATAGTTTATCTTTCTATTTCTTTTGTTTTTATTCCTATTCCTTTTGTTTTTCTACCAACTTCTGTTATTTGTTGTTGATGCTTCTTTGTCGTGTCCAGTGATTTCTTATACCGTTTTGATTCTAGACAAGACACTTTCTCCCTTATTATTTTATAAACAAATTATTTGTGTCGTTTTCTACAATTTGAATATCTTTTACATGTAATCATTGGGTTTAATTAAATGGGTAATTTTAGATGAGTTTCCGCCATTAGAAATCTAGCTCACGTATTTTCCGGACTTTGCTTGCGATGAAACAATTTATTTATAAATCTTAATAAACACATGTGCGTACAGTTTCCTTGGCCTATTAGGCACTAGATTGTTAATGTCCAAGTGCAAATTGACCATCGGACACGTTGTTAGAAATGTGTCAATCATGAATAAAGAGGCTGCTGTAATGTATATGACCAATTAAAAATTAATTTAGAGTGAAAATTATGGCGAAACATATTCTTAAACGAATAAAAAATAAGATTTGGGAAAATTAACTATTGTTGACAATATATCTACAGTTTCGTCATTAATTAAGGGTTCTGCATAGTTAGTATGCATGATGGTAAAATATGCCGTCACGACGACAGTCGTCGGCGTCGTTTGCCGGTGGTAGGTCATTTGGCAAGGGTTCGGTGGGCGCCGTGCAGGAGCGTCGGTCTTGTGTCTGACCCGCATCGGTGTGCCAGTAAGAGTTTGACGTGCGTCGCGACGCTGTGCGCCGTTTTGTCACTTTCTAACGACGTCGCTGCTGTAGCCGTCGTCTTTTGTTTTTCTTTTCGTTTCAATGTACGGACCTGTTTCTTTTCCAATAACACGATGATCACACCCGCACCCACCTTCAAAGCTACCGCCCCTTCATCAGGTAATTAAACGTTTGAAAAAGTAATTAATCTCTGAAGTGTACGAAATTGTTGTTGTTTTGGGCTTCTAGCATACAGTTTTTAATCGTTTGAACGGGAAAATTAATATGTAGGGATCAAAGGACGATTTAGGATTCTAATTTAGGTATTCATTTGTTTATAACCAATTGGTATCTATAGGAAGAAAATATTATCTAAAGGTACCTTGGGGATAAAATATTAACGAAATTTGATAACGTTTTGTCCATTTTGAGCTAATTAAAATATACTGCTTGACAAAACATAATAAGAAAAAAGAAAAGATTTTTATAATTGGCATTTTTTGTGTGGAAAATTATAACTTTTGCTTTCAAAGTTTTACATTGTGACATAGGCGCGGGTGCTGTTTTGCCTGTCGTCAAATACATTTCTGCAAACGGCTTATGTCTATTTAGATTCCGATTTGGATTGGTGAAAGGATTTATTTGACTTATTTCCTGGCTTTTTTAAATTTAGCCGTCTAATTTTGGACGCTGTGATGTCTTTAAAAGTTATATTTATGGTACGGTAGGTTGTCATATATTATGCTCGAATTCAGGTATATTAATAAATCCGTATTTTTATGCCCGTTAAGACGCTTATTAAATCGGGAGATACACCTGGATTTTATTTCAGTATTCAAAGTTACAAAACGCGACTTTTAATTGTCTACCGCACTGCCAACGGAAACTGTATGGAAAATAGAACAGTTTAAACCTAAACAACAACATAAATGCAGATACTAACGAAGTAGATACTTAAAATTTTGTTTCCAACACTTTTTATGACGTAAGTTTTTCAACAACTGAACTAAACAATTGAACAATAAATGAGGCAATTTTAATCGGAATCGATGACTTTAATCTCATAATCACGTCAATAGAATACGGTCTATATCTTACCGATACTGACAGATATAAAGGTATATCAATCTCTCTTGACGTATTAATAATAATTCTGTCGAGAGTTACAATATTACGTAAATTTCGGATTAGAAACGGCCCATAAAAACGGATATACGTAAATCTAGTAATGGATACACATTACGGATAGTTTAAAAATAATTTCCAAGCAAGCAAACGACAACAGTAGAGTGTAGGAGAAATGAAATAGTAAAACAAATACCTACTACATGTAACAAATGAGAAACGAGATTGACAAGATCAAATGCTGCATGCAGATTGTATATATTATATAGTACCTACATACGTATTTCTGAAAATTTATCTACTATTTTCAAAACTTTTAAAACTAACAGATTCCTCGTTAGTCTTTTTTTTTTGCACCTGTATGTTAATAATAACTGTGATATCGGTTATTTATTGGTTTTCTTTTGAAATGAAAACCTTCAATGGTGGGAACATCTCGTCTTCCGAAGCAAAACGGAAGAGAGATGCTAAAATTAGCGAAATACTCCCGTCATCTGTTTTGAAATAACCTTCACACTAACTCATTTATGAGATGGAAGAATTTAAATTCGAGTTGCGTGTAGTACTTAACTCTTTTATGTTTATTATTTCATTAATTTTCTAAAATTATACTTGTCGATAACTGAAAATTGCTTCGAGAAACAATCTAAAAAACATCAGAAGGTAGGTTCGTATTAACAGTTCTCCGTTACATAAACCCATATTTCTCGTAATCTTAATTAATTTTAAGCTTCTTGAAGATCATGATTGGCAAATTTTTAATTGGCTGCACCAACTGCATACAGGGTCACGCAAACTCAATCGTTCTAAATATGTGTTAAAGATTATACAAAACTAATGTTTCTATCCCCCGGGAACAGTATGGTTTTTCTGGATAAAATATACCCTATGTCCTTTTCTGTACCCTCGACAATATTTGTACAAAATTTCATGGTAATCGATTGAGTAGTTAATGTGTGAAATGGTAACAAATAAACAAACATAGAAACTCATTTATTTTTGTATTAACAACCCTCTAACTTTTGCTTCTGTACATACTACATGGTTGTAAATAATCCTAATATTATGGAATCAATTTGATTAACGTATTTATTCCATCGGTCTGGTTCACAGGTGTTTGGGCACCTGGTAAAAGAACATCACCTATTAGGACCGAAGATATTCCTACAAGCGGTGAACCTCAAAGTAATGTTCCACCTCCGCCGCCCATTTGGACGCCCAAAAGTGCCGGTTCCAGTCCCATTGTCGAACGAAAAGAATTTCGGCCAGTCGCTTTTGAATCTCCTACATTAGGTCGAAAACAAAGAACCCCTGATGTAAATCTCTTGGCGAATTAAAGATTATCTTTTTTTTAATGGTTTAATTTTGGTTTTGAAGGTTCAATCGTCGTCGATAGAACCGCCGTGGAAGATTTTTTCTGATTTAAATAATAGTACATGTGGTGGTACATTTTCTATTTCTGATAGTAAAATACCACGGAGCAAATCTACGGACTTTTCCGGCTCGCGATTGCCCAGATATCAAAATCCAACCATCACCTTGTTACAAAAGGCTAGAGGTAAAATAACTCGAAATATATGTTTATGTTTAAAAGTTCCATGAATGTTTTGTTCTTTAGAGGGTCAAATTCCTAAAGGTCCAGTCTACATAAACTACCCCGATGACAATACCTTAAGAAGGCCCAAAGATGATAAACCACCTTTGGTGAAACCTGGAGAAGTTTGTGAGTTGTTTTCGTATTATCAAAAAAGTAGCAAAGACTTTATTAAAAATTTTATGTTTTGTAGTGTACCAAATCAAAAACGAATATACCAGCGAATCGGAAGGGGAAGCCCCAAGAAAAATGGCAGACCTTGGTCAAAGAAAATACGAGGGAATTGGTCCCACGACTAAAGAAGGAATACCAATAACACTACGATCGGTATGGCGAAATAAGTTTTGGAAAATAATAATTCGAAATAAAAATTCGATCGTTTTTTTTTTTATTATAGGAAGTTAAAGACGGTAATCAGCACAGATGGTACAAAAGGATGTATGACACAATCCATAAAAAANTAGCTTGTTCTAGTCTTAAGGAAATGCGAAGATTAGCTCATGATAGGAAAGAGTGGAGGTGCGTGTCCAATCAGTCTTAGGACTGACGACCTTATGATGATGATATATGTAAATTGAGTAGGTAGCCAATTAGAATGATTTTTATTTTGTTTGGCATCGATAGGCAATCGTTTTGCGAATAATACATTCGAATGTTTAAACATAGCATTCCCAATTGCCGACATTGACGCTAAATTTAACTTAATGGGCTAATTTTTACGTCACTCTGTACAATATTTGTTGCCGGTTAATTAGTCGCTTTCGGAATGTACCATTGTCTAAACTAAAGTCGAATATCGAATTCAGAAAAAAAAATATCTGTTGGGGTTTGAATACGTAGCCTTTTACTTCTTGGTTCTTGCCTTTATGAAACGGAAATTGTGTGGAAAGTTCTGTAAAATAAGTTTTCTTTGTAGTGCTGACCCATTTTAGTCTCTGCTCTGTCGGCATTAAATGACCGGAAATGGGTTTAGCTTCATAATACGGGAATCGATCGGGTTCGTATTCGGACAATTCCTACGGGAAATTAGAAAATTTAAAACCGATGATGGCAAATTTTGTTTAACATTACCAAAACCTAATAAGAATGCCATTATCTCTATTCAAACTACAAACAAAACTCAAAGTTACTATTTTTTGTTTCTGTTCTTATTTCTTCTGTTGCTTTTGTCTTTTCTGGTGTTCTGATTTTCATTTGTCATTTCATAGTTTATCTTTCAATTGCATCTGTTTTTATTCCTACTCCTTTTGTTTTTCTACCAACTTTATTTGTTGTCGTCCAGTGAACGTGATTAGTTGTATCGTTTTGGTTCTAGGCAAGACACTTTCTCCCTTATTATATTATAAACAAATTGGTTGTGACGTTTTCTATAATTTGAATATCTTTTACAAGTAATCATTGGGTTTAATTAAATGGGTAATTTTAGATGAGTTTCCGCCATTAGAAATCTAGCTCACGCATTTTCCGGACTTTGCTTGCGATGAAACAATTTATTTATAAATCTTAATAAACACATGTGCGTACAGTTTCCTTGGCCTATTAGGCTCTAGATTGTTAATGTCCAAGTGCAAATTGACCATCGGACACGTTGTTAGAAATGTGTCAATCATGAATAAAGAGGCTGCTGTAATGTATATTACCAATTAAAAATTAATTTAGAGTGAAAATTATGGCGAAACATATTCTTAAACGAATAAAAATAAGATTTGGGAAAATTAAGGTTAAATTAACTAAAGGTGACGATATTTATACAGTTTCGTCATTACTTAAGGGTTATGGATAGTTAGTTAGTAAGATGATGGTAAAATATGCCGTCACGACGACAGTCGTCGGCGTCGTTTGCCGGTGGTAGGTCATTTGGCAAGGGTTCGGTGGGCGCCGTGCAGGAGCGTCGGTCTTGTGTCTGACCCGCATCGGTGTGCCAGTAAGAGTTTGACGTGCGTCGCGACGCTGTGCGCCGTTTTGTCACTTTCTAACGACGTCGCTGCTGTAGCCGTCGTCTTTTGTTTTTCTTTTCGTTTCAATGTACGGACCTGTTTCTTTTCCAATAACACGATGATCACTCCCGCACCCACCTTCAAAGCTACCGCCCCTTCATCAGGTAATTAAACGTTTGAAAAAGTAATTAATCTGTGAAGTATACGAAATTGTTGTTGTTTTGGGCTTCTGGCATACAGTTTTTAATCGTTTGGACAAGAAAATTAATATGTAGGGGTGAAAGGGCGATTTAGGATTCTAATTTAGGTATTCATTTGTTTATAACCAATTGGTATAGTAAGGAAATATTATATCTAAAGGTATCTTAGGGATCAATTATTAACGAAATTTAAAAAGGTTTTGTCCATTTTGAGCTAATTAAAATATATTGCTTGACAAAACATAATAAGAAAATATAAATGGCATTTTTTGTGTAGAAAATTAAAACTTTTGCTTTCAAAGTTTTACATTTTGACATAGGCGCGGATGCTGTTTTGCTTGTCGTCAAATACATTTCTGCAAACGGCTTATGTCTATTTAGATTCCGATTTGGATTGGTGAAAGGATTTATTTGACTTATTTCCTGGCTTTTTTAAATTTAGCCGTCTAATTTTGGACGCTGTGATGTCTTTAAAAGTTATATTTATGGTACGGTAGGTTGTCATATATTATGCTCGAATTCAGGTATATTAATAAATCCGTATTTTTATGCCCGTTAAGACGCTTATTAAATCGGGAGATACACCTGGATTTTATTTCAGTATTCAAAGTTACAAAACGCGACTTTTAATTGTCTACCGCACTGCCAACGGAAACTGTATGGAAAATAGAACAGTTTAAACCTAAACAACAACATAAATGCAGATACTAACGAAGTAGATACTTAAAATTTTGTTTCCAACACTTTTTATGACGTAAGTTTTTCAACAACTGAACTAAACAATTGAACAATAAATGAGGCAATTTTAATCGGAATCGATGACTTTAATCTCATAATCACGTCAATAGAATACGGTCTATATCTTACCGATACTGACAGATATAAAGGTATATCAATCTCTCTTGATGTATTAATAATAATTCTGTCGAGAGTTACAATATTACGTAAATTTCGGATTAGAAACGGCCCATAAAAACGGATATACGTAAATCTAGTAATGGATACACATTACGGATAGTTTAAAAATAATTTCCAAGCAAGCAAACGACAACAGTAGAGTGTAGGAGAAATGAAATAGTAAAACAAATACCTACTACATGTAACAAATGAGAAACGAGATTGACAAGATCAAATGCTGCATGCAGATTGTATATATTATATAGTACCTACATACGTATTTCTGAAAATTTATCTACTACTTTCAAAACTTTTAAAACTAACAGATTCCTCGTTAGTCTTTTTTTTTTGCACCTGTATGTTAATAATAACTGTGATATCGGTTATTTATTGGTTTTCTTTTGAAATGAAAACCTTCAATGGTGGGAACATCTCGTCTTCCGAAGCAAAACGGAAGAGAGAGATGCTAAAATTAGCGAAATACTCCCGTCATCTGTTTTGAAATAACCTTCACACTAACTCATTTATGAGATGGAAGAATTTAAATTCGAGTTGCGTGTAGTACTTAACTCTTTTATGTTTATTATTTCATTAATTTTCTAAAATTATACTTGTCGATAACTGAAAATTGCTTCGAGAAACAATCTAAAAAACATCAGAAGGTAGGTTCGTATTAACAGTTCTCCGTTACATAAACCCATATTTCTCGTAATCTTAATTAATTTTAAGCTTCTTGAAGATCATGATTGGCAAATTTTTAATTGGCTGCACCAACTGCATACAGGGTCACGCAAACTCAATCGTTCTAAATATGTGTTAAAGATTATACAAAACNAAATAAACAATACAGTATCTGTCCATACTGTAACGATAACGATCAATTGTTTTTGATCTTTGAAGCAACTGTTTCGTTTTGTTTTTGTTTTTGTTTAACTCGGTTTTTACACCATGTGTAAAGAAAATTTTCTTTTGTTGCAACTGATCGAGTTATGAAATACTTCCTGGTTTACAATCAGCCAGATTACATCACCAATCACAATCAGCTTCTCATCGCTAATTCTTTACCGGCCTGATATAGCAATTAATTGCGAGTCGATCATTACAGCAGCGTTACTGTTTGTTCATCTGCGTATCGTGCGAATTTAAAAAAGAGTACGTATTATATTATATGCCAAGTAATCTAATATAATTGAGATTATTGCACAAATTATTAAAGGAGGTAACCCTCAAGGAGCTTTTAGAGAAAAATATTGAAATTGTATTCAAAATGACATCCCCTCTAATTCATTTCCACAATAATTACGGATAATCCTTTCATATCGAATGACAAATTTCCACTAAAGTGATTTTTCTTCTTTCAATTGTTGCTTTTTGTTTCTGAAATGTTGCTTCATGTACCTAAAGTTTCCCTTTTTCCTTTTATATTTTATAAACGACCTTTCACAGTTTTACTTATTTGGTATTGCTTCTATTTTAGTGGTGGGATGAAGTCATGGAAATATTTGATGGGGTACGAGCATTTTTCTTTAATTTTTCAGTTCACGATTTTACGATTTTAAGTTTTGTTGCTTTCAACAGACGAAATTTTGTCTGATTTATTACAGCACAAAAAAAATCATCATATTAGTTAGGCCATTTATGGTTTCTGAAAGAAATTGCGTTAAATTATTTATTAAAACGGCATAATAAATCAGACGGGATTCTAAATGAAAATGTGTTTTGGTTTTGCTTATTTTGGTGATATTATTCAACGTTTTTTTTTTAATTCAAAATAATCAAAAGCTTCTAAAAACTTTCTTGGCGCCATAAAAAACAAAATTGATTACTTTTTGTTTTAAAAAAAAAAAAAGAAAAGCGTTGATTTCGCCTTTGCTTTTGTTTTGGTTGATTGGTTGATTGTTTGTGCGGGTAGTTTGTCAATTTAGTAACTAACAAAGCATCGGGATATTTGTTACACACAGTGGCTGGACCAACATTGTTCCCTAGGGAATCGAACTAGACGACATTCGTCTTTCTGCCCAACTTATTTCAGTGTAAGCTAAGTCGCATGATGATGTATTTGTCAAGTGGCACGAAACGTTAAAAAACTTATCTATCTCCAATATTACTATCTATAAATAATACCAATTGTACCTGTCTAACGTTGTTGTTATTGTTGCTTCTCTTTTTTTTGCACAATTTTAATTTTTTTTACTTATTTTTTACACACAACTAAATGAATTTGCACATTCCAAGAATACCAGGCACATCCCCTAATTCAGTGCATGCCATCAGTGGGTTTTTTTTTTAAATATGTTTTGGTCCTGAGGACTAAGACGTAAAAATGCAAAATTGCGATACACTTCCATAACTTGGAATTATACCAATTTGCCTTTACGGGACAGTTTTATCGATATTGACCATGGCGTGCTGATGCGAACTAATGTGTTCGAATCCACGTCTGGGCCTTGTTATTTCAATAAATTGTTGACGAAATACTTATTACTCTTTAAGGAAATAACAATTGAATTGTTTGCAAAACAAGTACCTACCTATCAATTTTTTTGTGTGATTTTATTTTGTTTATTGATTTGATCGCTATACGAAAATCATTCAGTTTCAAGCATGGTCGATTAATGTTTTCTTTTGTCTTTTTGAATGGGCATGGACCGTTTTTCTAATATATGCCTAATGTTTCGTGAACAAATTTGTTCTAATTTACGTTTTGTCCATTATCGACAGCATTTAGAACAACAGAAGCACATTCCTACCAAAGGACACCTGAGCCAGTGAGTTTCATATGTCTTTTTGGCAATTGTTGTTTGGTACATTTTCGCGTTTTGTTTTCCAACACAGGGCGCTCAAAGAAACCGGCTATGATTCGGATTCGACGCTGGTGTTCAGAAGAAGGGAGGACGCCGTCCACCATTTAAGTCCGAAAGAACAAAAAGAGGCCTACAAGACAATACAAAAGGGCGGCGATGTACCCCTCCACGGATTACGAAAACCGGCACCCGAAAGACCTAAGGGTAAGTGTAATAACTAAATCTGTTTAAACAAATCAAATGTACAATAATANTTCAAAACTTTTAAAACTAACAGATTCCTCGTTAGTCTTTTTTTTTTGCACCTGTATGTTAATAATAACTGTGATATCGGTTATTTATTGGTTTTCTTTTGAAATGAAAACCTTCAATGGTGGGAACATCTCGTCTTCCGAAGCAAAACGGAAGAGAGATGCTAAAATTAGCGAAATACTCCCGTCATCTGTTTTGAAATAACCTTCACACTAACTCATTTATGAGATGGAAGAATTTAAATTCGAGTTGCGTGTAGTACTTAACTCTTTTATGTTTATTATTTCATTAATTTTCTAAAATTATACTTGTCGATAACTGAAAATTGCTTCGAGAAACAATCTAAAAAACATCAGAAGGTAGGTTCGTATTAACAGTTCTCCGTTACATAAACCCATATTTCTCGTAATCTTAATTAATTTTAAGCTTCTTGAAGATCATGATTGGCAAATTTTTAATTGGCTGCACCAACTGCATACAGGGTCACGCAAACTCAATCGTTCTAAATATGTGTTAAAGATTATACAAAACTAATGTTTCTATCCCCCGGGAACAGTATGGTTTTTCTGGATAAAATATACCCTATGTCCTTTTCTGTACCCTCGACAATATTTGTACAAAATTTCATGGTAATCGATTGAGTAGTTAATGTGTGAAATGGTAACAAATAAACAAACATAGAAACTCATTTATTTTTGTATTAACAACCCTCTAACTTTTGCTTCTGTACATACTACATGGTTGTAAATAATCCTAATATTATGGAATCAATTTGATTAACGTATTTATTCCATCGGTCTGGTTCACAGGTGTTTGGGCACCTGGTAAAAGAACNAACATAGAAACTCATTTATTTTTGTATTAACAACCCTCTAACTTTTGCTTCTGTACATACTACATGGTTGTAAATAATCCTAATATTATGGAATCAATTTGATTAACGTATTTATTCCATCGGTCTGGTTCACAGGTGTTTGGGCACCTGGTAAAAGAACGTCACCTATTAGGACCGAAGATATTCCTACAAGCGGTGAACCCCAAAGTAATGTTCCACCTCCGCCGCCCATTTGGACGCCCAAAAGTGCCGGTTCCAGTCCCATTGTCGAACGAAAAGAATTTCGGCCAGTCGCTTTTGAATCTCCTACATTAGGTCGAAAACAAAGAACCCCTGATGTAAATCTCTTGGCGAATTAAAGATTATCTTATTTTTAATGGTTTAATTTTGGTTTTGAAGGTTCAATCGTCGTCGATAGAACCGCCGTGGAAGATTTTTTCTGATTTAAATAATTAAACAACAACATAAATGCAGATACTAACGAAGTAGATACTTAAAATTTTGTTTCCAACACTTTTTATGACGTAAGTTTTTCAACAACTGAACTAAACAATTGAACAATAAATGAGGCAATTTTAATCGGAATCGATGACTTTAATCTCATAATCACGTCAATAGAATACGGTCTATATCTTACCGATACTGACAGATATAAAGGTATATCAATCTCTCTTGATGTATTAATAATAATTCTGTCGAGAGTTACAATATTACGTAAATTTCGGATTAGAAACGGCCCATAAAAACGGATATACGTAAATCTAGTAATGGATACACATTACGGATAGTTTAAAAATAATTTCCAAGCAAGCAAACGACAACAGTAGAGTGTAGGAGAAATGAAATAGTAAAACAAATACCTACTACATGTAACAAATGAGAAACGAGATTGACAAGATCAAATGCTGCATGCAGATTGTATACTCGTATATTATATACGAGGGTGGATTGATAAGTTTCCGGCCTAACCAAGAGATGACGCCACTAGGCCTACCTTGAGGTGACATTCTATAGTACCATCCTTGGATAGCTTGTAGCTATAGTTTCAGCCCGATCTCCTTGCTAGTGTAGGTTTGACAGCACG